TTTCTTTAAGATTTCAGATTATTCAAGTCATCCTATAATTCAAAAATGAGAAGAGAAGAAAAGAAAATGAGAAAATAAAACCCTCTTTCATTGAGTGAAGTTTTTTGGGAGGACAGGTATTCATTAAACATTGTAAACAAAACCTTGCCAAAGTCAACCTTTATGTTACTTATCACCTGGAAATTTGCTTCACTGATTGCCAGACTTCATGCAAACTAGTTCCCTCCAGGAATCCCACAGACCCTGTGGAGCACACACTAAGCATGGTCTCCAACAGAGTTTTAGAATTTTTATTATTCCAAATGCTGGTAAGTGATCATGGTCTTCTCAAATAAGGATTTAAAATTTCCAACCTTCTATTTTTTGACATTAATGTGTAGCTAAAATAGAAAAAGAGCTATCTGCAAGTACACCCATCCCTTCCTACATGCCCTCCTGTTATAGTGAGAATCAGAAAGTGGCCAAGATATTCTCATACTGAGGATCGAAAGCCCCTCTCATTAGCAATTGATATCTAAATGTATCACTGTAGTAATTCCCAGGGCTGTGCGGGGATGATTCACTATACATTGCACTCCATTAAACTTTAAATGACAAAGAGATAGGCAACTATCATTTTCCAATTACCTCATTTTCAATAGATGCATTCAGGATCAATGTTTAGAGCCTTTTAGTTTGAGATGTTCATTTCAAGAACAAACATTCACATGAACTGATCCAGTCCCTCAGGTAAAGTAGTACCCACAATCATGCATGGTTAAAGGCAACAGTGGTGGTTTTGTGTGGTGCTTGGGTGGTGGTGGTAGTGGCAATGGCAGGGGCTTGAAGCTTTCCTATACTATTTTTCTTATTTTTATCTAAAGAAGACAGATATCTAACAGCATCACACTTCACTCATACTGTCTGACACATCTAAAATATAAAAGAAGAAAGAATAGCTAAACTTAAAGATAAAAACGCTGAAAGAAGTGACCAAATATCCACACCAACTACTATAATTCGGCTAGATGTCAAAAATTAAAATTGAACAAAAGCAAAGTAAGTGCTTCATTTCTCTTTCATATAAACTTTTCCAATTATTCCTGAAGTAGGGTGCTTCCCACCCTAATAAGAGTGTGTATGTAGACTACTGGAGTGGAAATGGAATTAGAAGTGCTCTCTCATATCAGCTCCAAGAAATACACAACCAAAGTAAAAACAGTGACGCTGGAACACTGGCTTTTAAGGTAACTGGGTTTCTGTGGGTCTTGTAAAACACAAAAAAGGAACATGGGGCACAGAAGCAGCATAAGCTAGAAGGGTGGTGTGGATATTCATAGTGAAACCAACAGAGAACATTTGTTAGGGGTGGCAGTACAGACTCCTAACTGCAGGGCTAAAGCCTACTGGAAGGATCCACAGGGTCAAGCAAAGAGTCTGAAAAGCCTGGAAAGGAGTGGGGACCTGACCGTGGTCCTGAAAGACGGCAACTTGCAGATGATTTCCAACGGCCTCCTAGTATCCACACAACACCATGTCTTTTTTTCCACTGTAGCTTAAACGAGTCTTCAATACGAGTCCAGTATTTGTCCTCAAAAAAGTCAAAACTTTCTTTTATGATCATATCAGTCTTTATAATGCCCAGTTTGTCTTTCACAAACAGCCTCCTTGAGGGTTAGGCTAATTTCAGGAATAAAAGGTATGCCGTTCTAGCTCAAAAGCAGGAATCAAACTCACGACACTTAAAATTGTACAGAAAGCTTACACTTGGCAATCCTGATTCTAGCTTGCGTTTCTTAAACTCGGATGGGAAATCATAACTATCCGAAACACTTCACGAAATGAAGCTCCATGAAAGAACACTCCAAACTCTCCGTATAATCTAGGAAGCCTTGAAACTCTGCAAGGGTAAGGTCCACGAATAGCCCCATTTTCACCTCATAAGATTACAACCCATTTCCTAAAGATATACAAAAATATAGATCCCACAGTGAACACAGGCGTCAGTCTTTCTTCAGGCTGTTTCCCAGCCCTTACAAAGCCAAGAATCAAGAAAGCCAACTACTACACCAATCCCAAGTGTTAGTACTACACCAAACCATGGAAGAAAAAAATTTCTCCGCACAAAAGACACCTTGGCAAGAACAGAAGGTAATTCACTCTGCTGGTGAAAAAAGGAAGGTTGGGGCAAAAGTAATGCATATGAGAAAAATCTTTCTCAGAAAAGACCATTCAACTCATCCAAGTGTAAGACTTACGTGTTCCGTCAAAACGGGTAGCGATGGTGTCGAGGAAGGTGTTCTGCGGCGCCAGCAATCCTTTCATAACCGGCATTTTTCCAGCGTGGTGTCGGATTCTCCATCAAAGTTTGTCCGGAAGGATGGTTCCAGAGGAAAGTGCCAAGAAGGGAGAAGGGGAACGTGATGACGGCAGGGGAGGGGGGCCTGGCGTGGCGACGGGGCCGATCGAGGGAGGAGGAGGGTGGAAAGAGAGAGGGAGCGAGTTCCAGCCGCCGCTGCTGTGGCAGGAGCAGCCCAGAGGGCGCTTCCCGAGCCCGCCCCGCACCTCCGGCCTCAGCCGGGCGCAGGCTCCCTGTCCCGCCCCCTCCTCCGCCGCCAGCTACCGAACCCCCCACCGGCCCTCCGCTGTCGACAGTGCCCGCCAGGCGCCGCCCCGGGGCTCCTCGCCCCCACTTCGCCCGCCCGGAAAGAGCTCGCGGTGGCCCGGGGCGCCGCGCCCTGACCTGTCTCTGGGGTCGTGGAGCACGGCTCTGGGAGCTGGGCGAGGCGCGGTGGCGTGGAGCCTCCGGGTCTCCCAGGGGCGCCGGGAAATACGAGAGAGCGCGACTCGCACCCCCAAGAGCCAGTGAACAAAGACCCCTTTGTTCCCGCTGCGTCCCACTCCCGGGAGACTGGAGTCCCGTGGGTGTGGTATTGGAGAAGGGGAGGAGAAAGGTCGGGGCAGGTAGCCGGCCTCTGCCTAGAACTCGGGAGGGGGGAGGCCCCCGTGGTGTCCAAGGGAGCAGAGGCTGCCAGCAACCCCGGGGGAGGTGTCCCCCTTCCGGTGCACCTGCCAGCGCGAGTGCACTCGTCGACAGCAGGGCAGCCTCGAGTAGGTGTGTGGCCCCCTCCCCAGTCACCAGGGTCATTTAGCCCCGGGAACCGGCCCAAAGTGCTTGGGTTTTCCACTTTTCCTTCCTGGGTTCCCAAAACGGGTGCTTCAATCTTCCTCCCCAAATTGCCAATGGCCTCCCCAAGCCATCCCAAACTAAAGAAATAATACCCTTTTAAGTGGACAATGGGTGGTTTCCCACCCTCTGGTAAAATGTGAATAAAGCATTTCTAGAAACCTTTGCTATTTTTATTAATTCGCAAAATACCATGTAAGTAAAAGCAGTAAGATTGCCTTGTAAAAAGAGCTTCAAAACAAGTCCCCTCGCCTGTTTCCTCCACCCACCCAATAGCGAGGCTCCCCCCAAGACTGACACCTCCCAAGAAGAAAGCCTGGCGGCCTGCCAGGAACTGAGGTGCCTTAGAAAACGAAAGTGGTCTCTCCTGGCCCTTCTACCCGACGCTCCTGCTGGGGCTCGGTCTCCACGACTTTGCGCTGAGAAAAGCCGCCCAAGCCTGCGGCGCAAGCCAGTGGAGAGGTGGAGGGGGTCATCCAGAGCCCGGATCTTTCAGAAAACCCTGGAACGGAGGGAGGTGTGGAAGGAGAGTTGAGAGGCAGGGGTAGAAAAACAAACGTAAACCCAGGTGCTCGTACACCCGGAAGGAAAGGAGGGAAAAGCAAACAGGTGTCTGAGCGGCAGCGAGTGGCAGCTCTCATCCTGGCCGCCAGGGACGCGGGCGTGGCGGGAGGCGGGAGCGCCCGCCCCCCAGTGCTGTCGGTGTCGGGGGGTTCCTTGTTTGAATTCTCCCGGCTCACCGGGCGTCGGGGACCCCGCGGGTTTCGTCACGGCTGCCCGCGGCTCCTGGAGGGTGGGGGTGGAGAGAAGGAGAGGAGGCATCCCCCTTTCCCCGCCCCCGGCCCCCTTTCTCGTGATGCACTTCCTGCGGCCGAGGATTCCCTTTGTGTTGAAATTCGAGAAGATCCGGCCGTGGCTCGTGGCTCGCGGCTAGCGGGGCGGGGAGACTCTGGGAGGGGGACGGGATTCCTGAGTGGGCGGCGCGGGGCAGCCATGGCCGGGGTGAGGCTCTCGGCGTGGGGGGTCCCACGCCCAGCGGCACGCTGCTCTCGGGCACTAGTCAGTGCCTGTCCTCCCCTCAATCCTCTGTCCCAACCAGCGGCGCTTTTCCGAAACCGAGCTCACGCGGGCGGGGTCCCCCACGCGGCGAGCCGAGAGCAACTGCGGGTGGCTCTGCGGGCTCCCTTCCTGGGCGGAGTCGGAGAGAGAAAGATGAGGGAGTCCCTGCTGGGGTGGTGCATCGCGTCCCAGAAAACCCAGGCTGCCACTGACGACGTAAAAGCGAGGAAAACGCCTCCTTTGAAGTGGCTGGAAGTTCAGCGTGAAATTTATTAGTTGTAAGCCATGATTCGGATTCATAAAATTTGCACTGTAGATCTGTGTGTAAAAACTGTTTCCTCGTGGGCCTGATCTATGTTGCCTAGTGTATGAAATCACTTGCAAGAAACAAACCACAAAGGGCTTAAGAATGGCAGCCCAAAGCAAGCCTCGGTTTAGTGGCAAAAGGAGCCCGGCATTTATCATTCACTGTCTTCCCTCCAGCACCTACTATGTGTTGGGACTGTGCAAGGCATGACAAGATGCGTGCCCTAAATTCAAATTCTAAGCCCTGGATCCTATTGATCTGTAGTACGTGGGCCTCACCGCCTTTGTATCTTTTCCCCACCAAGCTTTCTTAATGAAGACTGCCATCACCAGTTTTCTTGAGTTCCTTCTTGAAGCATTGGCCCAATAAAAAAGCCTAATGTTTCTCCGTGGTATTTGTGGGTCAAGTAAGGCCAAACTGCACCATTAGAACATGACCTCTGTGAAAATTTAAATATATTAAATTCCTTTAAACTTGTTTTGACACCATGAAATCTAAGGCCATAAAAAAGGCATCATGAAAGTCAGGAGTTTTCACTAAGGCCTTCCTCAAATCTCACGTCCTTCCCCTAAAGGAAATTTTCCCACTGTGCCCCCCACCTCCATAGACAAAAAGAATCCCAACTCATTTTATTGCAGACCACTTCCTTCCTACATAGACCTTTCTCTATGGCCTAAACAAGACAACAATAGAAGAATAACCATAACCACACAATGTAATAAACCTAATGCCCACATGAAAGAGAATTAAATGTTCACAGAGGAAATCATGTTTTTTTTTAACTCTAAAATGTAAGGGGGGGCACAAAGTCCCTATACCCAGACCATAGCACTCTATTAAGTATTATAGAAAGCCTCGTAGGGTAAAACCAACCTAAGCAAATTTCACTGATTTGCTTATCATAAACCACCCCAAAACCCATTGAATTAAACCAACAATATTATATTTTGCTCACAGATCTCCAATTTGTGCAGGGATCAATGAAGCAGCTTATTGCTGAGTCACCAAGATACACTTCCGAGATGGCTCACTCAAAGTAATAGCAATTGGGTGCTGCCTGTCAGCTGGGAGCTCAGCCAGTGGTGGGGCTTTGGGGCTTCAGTTCTTCATGTGGTTCTCTCCATGAACTGCTTGGGCATCCTCACAGCATGGTGGTTTCAAGAGTGCATACTCAAAGAGACAGGGGTAGGAGCTGCCAGTTTCTTAAGGCGAAATCAAAACCAAACGCATTACCCAGATGAATCAAAAAGGAAAGAAAGTCCAACCTCTAAATGGAAGAAGTATCAAATAATTTGGGGCCATATTTTTAAATCTTCACATCAGTTTGTTGGTATTTTGAGTTTCAAAGGAGGTTGCCTTATAATAGCATTCTTTAATTTGATTAAAAATCTATTTGCACCTGTTTTATATATCTCCATAAACATTTGGGATTTGTGGATGCAAGACCTGGGGTCAAGTCTGTAGTTCCTTGTAGAGAAAATGTAATACACAAGAGAGAAAACATACATTAAAATGACTTAAGAACTATAAGCCATGAATAAAGCAATTGTTATTATTATTTTGTTTAATGTTGATTATCTCTCCAGCACGTGATGCTGTATATTAGTCTGGATGGGACTGGAAAGGGCTTCAGGACTCTCTATATCTGCGTGATAGTTTTAGGTGTTCCTTATTTCTATTTTCTAATTATAGCATTCATCCAATACCTCAATGCAAAACATCTGTAAATGTCTTATTGATGTGTATATATTTGACTGTAGGCCTTGAAAATATTCTTAAACTTTTTCTGGCAACAAGAATTTTAGCCCTCAAGAGAAGGAAATATTTTCATTTACAGGCTGATATAAAAAAATCTACTCAGATGTGTTGAGTTCTAGTTTTGTCTTTACCATTTATCCCTTTTGTCATTTAATCTTTGTGAGTTTCCATTTTCTTACTAGAATAATACCTTCTCTACTTCACAGAGTAGAAAAAAATATTTGTGAAAAGCCATTGAAACCTATAACATGCAGCATATGATGTAAGAGATTGTAATAAACATTGTTTTATTTTTTGTATTCTAACACATCTAATACAAAGTTGTTTATTACTGTTACAGTGTGTGGTCCTATTGAACACATTTATGTACTAATAGTTTGTTACAGCCTATGGCTTACAAGCCTTTCCTTCTAAATATAAGTGTCTCTAGAAGCTCAGAAGGAAAATCAAGTTAATTTTTTTTTTTTTTGACTAATCCTTTTGAATTGTCCTGCTCTAATGTCCAATAAGATGGATTCCAGTGTCATGGTCACTGCTTCCTGTTCCCAAATAGTCACTGCCTCCTATTTCTCAAAATGTGTAGAAACTAGAATACTCTAGCACGACCTCCAAAGCTATGGTTTCAATCAGGATAATCTAGGTTATGCTTTAATAAAAATGTAATATCTCAAAGGCTTATTACAACAGTGCTATTTCTTGTTCACTCTACATGTCTAACATGAGTTGGCAAGGGGCTCTGCTTGCATTGGGGCCCAGATTGATGGAAGTTCTGCTCAAAATATGTTTTCCTTGACGGGAATAAGGTAATTTGGCAAAGCATGTACTGTTTTTTAGAACTTCCACTTATAACTGAACAACCGAAATAAGTCACATGGCCATCCTAATTTTAAAGAGGTGGTAAAAAACAATCCAGCTGTGGCCCTTGAAGAAAAGGAGCTCTGGAATATTTGAGAACGGGCATTTCGTAGCCATGGAGGTGAGCCATTCAAATCTCATTTCAAAAGAACCTTCTGGGAAGAGTGT